AAAAAAAAAAAAAAAAAAAATCCCAGATCCAAAGGAAAGCGGTGATAAGAAATCTAAAAAGCAAAGAGAAACAGGAAATGCATACAAAAGTACCTAGTCCACAATACCAACTATAATTCCCTGAGGGAAAGTGAACTCGACTACCTAAGCTAAGCCTGGGTTGGGAGGCCCAATGATAAATAACAGGCCTTACCCAAAGTCACAGTTACTATAAACTGTAAAATTAGTATGAGTTTTTAATTAGAAAGTGAGTCTTCCTGCAAGGCAGGCTAGATTTGTACTAGAAATCCACTTAGGGTTCACCATATATAGTGTTATTAGTAAGGAGACCTGCTAGCCAGACTATATATTGAGAGAAGCACTGAGTGCTTTCAAACTCAGGTATTGTGTGGATCAGTAGAAGTAGGTGGCAGAGAGCCACACAAAACTGTCATGAAAAAGGAGAAAATAAGTCACAGACCATCTAAAAAATGTAAGCCCTGGGGAACTCTGGCTGTAGGAAGTAAATGGCCACTGACCTCTACGGTGAGGAACAAGAGAAATCAAGTGTGGTTTTCTGAAAGGATTAGGTCTGAAAGTGCCAGGATCTAGCTCAGCTGATGTAGTTCCCACAGCTGTCTCCCTCTACCACAGAACTCGGTCCGCTTCCCCCACTCTCTGATATGCCTCTCCTTAGATTTGTGTCATGTTCCCACATGCTTAGTCAAGAAGGCCTTCTGAAGGAGTGGGGTGCCTACCTAACCCACATGCAGGCCACTCAAGGATAGAAATGGCTCTATATGTACAGCTGGAAATAATGTCAATGCTCTAGAATAAATACAACCTGAAGGCAAAAAACAGAACATTGAGTAGTTCTGCCCCGTGGAAAAAGCAAGGCAGGACTCACCACTCAGAGCACCGGTCTATTACATAGGAGCCAGGAAAAAAAAAAATCAGTAAATAAAATAAAAACTGGCCCCAGTTGCAAATCTAACCCTCTCTTCCACACATGGTAAGATTGCATTACTACAGGTCCTAGAAAAAAACCTCCCAATCCAAACACATAAGCACAGGAGACTAATTGAAATCTTTTTTTTTTTCTTTTTGTTCCTTTTTTATTTTTATCTGATTTCTGTATGAGCAGTACTGAGGCTTGAATCCTCAAAATAAACCTACTCACATAAAAGTCAAGCTATACATCCCAACAAATGCACAACCCTCAACACAGAAAGAGAAATATGAGAAAAAAGACAAAAGGATTGTTCTAAAGTCTAATAATTCTTCAGTAACTAACTCAAACCACTTACACAGGCAAGCTCATCACAATAACTACATATTGCTCAGCAAAACCTCTTTTAAAAAGGTCAGGATGGTGTGCAATGATGTTCTCCGTACCTTGAAAGAAAAGGACTACCAACACAGAAATACTATGTCTGGTAAAGCCATCCTTCAGAATTGATGGAGAAATAAAGATTTTCTAACACAAGTGTATAAATCAAAGGAATTCTTGACCACTAAACCAGCATTACAGAAGACACAAGATGAAGAATAGATAAGAAAATAAGAATTAAAAAAGAATCAAATATTAGGAAAACAACAAAGTGTCAAAAGTTAAAACACATCTTTCAGTAATAACCCTGAATGTAAATGGTTCTAATTCTCCAATTAAAAAATATATGTGAGCCGGGGAGATGGCTCAGTGGAGTAAGTGCTTCCCTGGCAAGTGCAAGGACCTGAGTTCAATCCCCGGTTCCGCAAAAAAAAAAAAAAAAAAAAAAAAAAAAAAAAAAAAAAAAATGTGAGCAGTCAGGCAAGATGGAACACACCTGTAATCACAGAAGCCTGGGAGCCTAAGGCAGAAAGACTGTAAGTATGTACCCAGCCTGGGCAAAGGACTGGGGATGTAGTTCAATGTGAAGGCCCCGGGTTTAATCCCCAGCATGAGAGTAAGGAGGCTGGAAGCACAGTAGCAGCTAAACTAGAAAGAAAAAAAAAACACGGCCAGGGAAATAGCTCAGTGGCATAAGTGTCTTCCTGGTAAGCACAAGGTCCTGAGTTCAATCTCTGGCACCAAGAAAAAATAATAATAACAATTTGCTGTTTGCAAGAAACTCATCTCACTGGCAAAAACATATTTAGATGGAAAATGATATGCTAAGTAAATGGAATCCAAAAGCAAGCAAGAGTAGCTATATTCTGTCTAACAAAAGACACTTCAAGTCAAAATCAGTCAGACGAGAGAAAGTCAGTACATATTAATACAGGGAATAATCCAACAAAAAGTTGTAATGCTTATAAGTATATATCCATCACATGTCAGAGTGTCCAATTTTATGAAATAAACACTGTTGAACATAAATAGAGACAAGGCTAAATATAATAGTAATGAGTGAGTTCAGTATCTCTTTCTGAACAATGGCTCATGCTTCTAGACAAACAAGTGAAAGGGCAAGAGAAGACAAATCAAACTTTTAATTACATTATAGATCAAATGGACTTAACAGATATTTACGAAACAGACTCAAGGATAAAAATCATGTATCATCTCAGTAGATGCAAAAAGTCTTTTGATAAAACTCACATCCTTTCATGATAAAAGTTCTGAAAAAAATTAGGTACACAAATATCATACCTCAACATGATGAAGACTATATACAGCCAACATCACATTGAATGGGGGAAACTAAAAACATGTTCTCTAAAAACAAAGGGGGCCGGCCAGACAGCTCAGTAGACTAAAGAGCCTGCTTAGGCAGAGCACAGGGGCCGGGGTTCGATCCCCAGCACCACAAGCTGTGCCAGCCCTGCCCACGGAATGAACTGAGACAGCAAATGAGACTGGGTGTGGTGGCACACATCTGTCATCCCAGTGCTCAGGGGCTGAAAACAGGAAGTTCACTACAAGTCCAGTCTATGTAGTGAGACCCTGTAGACCCTGAACTAAAATACATCTAAAAAACCAAAACAAAACAAGGGGACAAGGTATTCACTACCACCACTGTTATTTGATATATGCTTCAAATTTTAGCCAGAACCATCTGGTAAGACAAAAAAATGTGGGGGGGGGGTGTTTACAAATCAAAAAGAAAATGTCAAATTATTCCTGTTTCTAAATAATATAATTCTGTACTGTGAAGACCCTTCAGAGTCTTCCAAAAACTTTTTTTTCTACAGTTTTATTGATAAACAG